ATAATATAGGCTATTCTGTTAAATATATCCTAAAAGATGAAACAGAAATTCTCTGGTCTGATCAGCTGTGTCTAGCAAAGAGGAGAAGGCTTAATTTGGTATATTAGTAGAATATCCCTTTAGTGTACACACTTCTGACACAAATCTGCTATTGTATCTGCTAGGATGGTGCTGGTAGATGACAGGTGTATTATTATATGAGCTTCACAGATGGTTGGCTTTACATCAGATATAAAGCCCTGAAGTGGTTATATGCGACTGCCACTGCAAGTTACATATGTGTGTGACGTTACCTATGACACAGATGTGCTCTCTCAGCTAACCATTTGATTGCAATCATGCCTTACATCTGTTGGTCTTTATCCCTTAAGCACTGATGAACACAGCTAATCAAAAAGAATAAGTGATTTTAACTCTCAAACATGCTGTATCAATACCATTCTCTCAGAGATTGTGTGTTTGAGTCAGTAGAAAGCACTTTAATAACTTTTTTTTTGTATTTTAATTACATGTATGGGGACTATATGTACATATATATCTATATATATAGATATATATGTGTATGTATACACATATATATATATATATATATAAATACATATATATTTATATATGTGAACCCTAGATAATAAACAAGTACAGAGCTTTGTGAGTGGGTAAAGGAGTAGATTGTTTTTGAGTGTCATCTCTAACAAGTGGGCACAATCCATTACCGCATCAAAACTGAATTGTCATTGAAAGTGGTGGGTGAAAACCATTTATGTTTTGTTCTATGGATAAGTGATTGGGTTTTGTGTTTTGTTTGTGCTCACTAACAAGTTTCCCATACCCTAGTCCTTCAGTCCTAAATAACCCAACCCAATCCCAAGCATTGGATTATTCCCTTGAAGTCAGTGGTCATCATATTGGCATTAGTCTTTAAAGTATGCACATATGCTGTCTCCATGAAATTAATTGTGGTATATATTAAAAATTCCTGCATTTCGTGTACCTTAGTCTATATATTTTTTTTCAGTCTGATTGTGGATAAACTACTGGTGGGGAAGAACCAAAATAAACAATTATCTTTTTACACTTTTTGTCCTTTCTGTCCTGCATGACTTTTGCAAGGCTGGGTCAGAAATTTTATCTCTAACCAAAATATATACAGATACTTTGTGAGGTTTAGCTATAGTCTGTATCTTGTTTAAGTGTTGTCATCTGTTGGTTTATATTTCATGGATCATCTCTTTACTCCAGGACCTCATAGAATACAGATGATATTGTTTTCATGCCTTCTTATTTCTCCCCATAGGCTTAGAGGCAAACCTGACTGAAGGAGGACACCATGTAGGATTGCAGTTTTGACTGAGAAAGCTTTAATCATTCATCATCCACAGCTTTCTACAGCAGAGGTCCGTTTATTTTTAAAGACCTCTAATGAGTGTCTTTGTGTTCTGTGGTAGCAGTCAGTTCATCAGTTTCAAGTTCACAATGGAACCTTGGAGCAGTTTCAACATTTGTTATGATTGTTGAACTTGAGTCAACCACTGAGAAATGATGAAATATGCCAGCAAAGTTCAGTAACAGGTTAGAGTGGCCAACAAGCCATTTGGTGATTAGTAAAAATGGAATTCAAAGCTTCACTTGATCACTGCCTCATTCTCCCACACATTTGTGCATAGATGTAGGATTTAGTGTTGGATAAGGCTGAGCTGTACTGCACTGTCCCAGCAGACAGTATAAATCTCCACTTCAGCTAGCACAGAGTGAAAATGATACAACAATCTGAAAGCTCCAGACTTGAGTTCCAGAGGCTCCAAATCCATCCCAAGTCTTGCAATTTCAGTTTAACTCACTGTGGCCATGCTGGTTTATTTGGAATGATTTTGTTTTCAGTTGCTATGATGCAATCCTGCAGCAGTAAGAGCATCTCCAACTCAACAAATATATTCAATACTGTACACACTCAGGGGCATTGTCATACCTGGTATAAACTGCTATTGTGAGATGGAGGTAATGTTAGAAAAATCACAGGTGCCACTATTGACATTGATAGTGTCTGGTCTATTCAAGTGACCCAGTAAAACATGAGTGTGGCAGACCCTGAAACTGATGCAGCTAAATGGAATTCAGCAGTCTACATATGGCTTTTTTCATCAACGTGTATATAATCAAATCACCTGTTGATGAAAAAAGCCATATGTAGATACAGAACTGATGAAAAGAATAACTCCTGAATTCTGACTGCTAACCACAACTTTATTCAAACAGACATTTTGATATTCCCAGTCACATCTGGAGTCATTGTCCCAGTACATAAATGTTGACACAAACTGAGGCTTTCACTGTGTTGAGATTGATATCATGGCTTTACAACAACCATCAATTATACTTACTTCAAATTCAGACCCCAAACTTCAGAATTGGGATTAAATGAGAAGGAAAGATCAATAAGAGAGATGGTGATGAATATGGAACTACATTTATGAAAGCTACATTATATATATTGTATAGAGAGGATTGGTTTGGGAGTGTCCTTAGAGAAGAAGGAAACAAACAGATTGATTAAAGGATTTGGGTGTAACTGTACAAAGAGAGGAGGAAAGCGCTAACTGAGTCAGGAGGAAAGTGCAGTGAACTGATTTGATCAAAAAGTTTGTAAAGGCGAGGCGGCCTTCCTGGTTTAGTGTCCGCTTTAATTTAATTAATGTGGTGAACATCTGTTAGAGTGACCGCTGTCAACTCTGACTCAGTCAAAAAAACAACTGCATCTTGTGCCTCTTTGCAGAGGTTCACAGGGAAATGACTCTTTCAACACTAGTAGAAAAATGTTACTGTAAAATGTCATTGAGATGTGTTGCATGCGTGTCTTGTTACACTTCCATGTCACCTGTCGAGAAAGATGTATGATGTCTCATACTGAGGGAAATGAGGCTGTGCAGATGGGTTCACATGGGCACTGCAGAAACCACCTGAGAAAATAGATGCAACAGCCTGTTCATTTTTGTTGATCCCACAGAATATCCCATAAATCACTTACTGGTGCAGCTGTCAGCACAAACCGCTGAGGACGCAGAGATCAATATGCAGACATATCCATAAAATCCTCCCAAAGTAACCCCTCTTTTCTCCCTGTATTATCCAAGAATTCAGTATGAGTAGCGTTGTTTTTGTCTATACACATGCAGATTTAGCAACAACAGTAAGTACATTTTCCCACTTCCTGTTTGAGTTATGCTGAACCACTATCTCTCCCATGGGTTGTAAGCCTTGTCTTTGCCTATTTTGAATCAGCGGAGCATTGAACACACACACGCACACAAACACACACTCACACGCACACACACAGTAGGCTACACCTAACAGCCTCTAAAGGCCATCACTGTGATGAGAATTGACTGACATACACAGATAATCCAGCCGTTGCAGAAGGTCAAACTAATTTATTTGATGTAGTCATTTTGTCCACATTTCTGAGGATCAATGGTCTATGGTGTGGATGTGATTAGAATGATGAAACTGCCAGTAAAAATCAGGGTAACATGCTGATGTGCAGGGATTTTCGAGCCAGTGAGTGTAGAGGTGATCATTCAGTCATAAAAATGACAGTAATTTAATCATTTTAAATCAGTGACATTGGTTGGATATTTAGTTTTGGATTGCACAGGATTTTGGTGTTACAAAGCATATGGATCTTGCATATTTCAGTCAAAGCAACAGCAAATTTAGCTGGAAATCTGTCATCAAGTCATCTCCCTGGCAGATAGTGCTGCCATATTACCTCCAGATCCTGTGGTGGCCCACATAACCAGAGTTGTCCGATCCAGATTGTGGGTGACAAGGCTTTATAGCACTGCAAGTTTCCTGGAAACTGCAGGGCCCTCAGGGAAATCAGTGCCAGATTGCTTGGAGACAGGCAACACTGGCCTGCTGATTAGTCAGAGAAAGAACTGTGTGGTGGCCATCATGTTTGAGAGAGAAAAGGAGACAGTGAGAGACAAAAAGCATAAATAGCCGGCAGCCTATTAACAATTCAGTTGTCTGACTCACACATGCTCCTACAAGTGTGTTTACACTTGAATATAGAATGTGTCATCTGATGTAGCTCAACTAAGTGGGCCATGAGTTGAGATTGTTTTGTCAAACTTTATTTTCACAGTGACAAATAAACTTTGAAGTCCCTAAAAGTGTAAAAGCAGCCATAACAGCTATTGAGTTCACATATTAACAAATGTGTGTGTGTGTGTGTGTGTGTGTGTGTGTGTGTGTGTGTGTGTGTGTGTGTGTGTGTGTGTGTGTGTGTGTGTGGTGGGTAATTGGGAGGCAGACTAATGCAGAATACTAATAATTAACTCTGCATGTCTGCTCAGAATTAGAAGTTATTAATGTCCTGTAAGAGAAAACGTTTCCTCTCGATTGCTCACTAGATGTCACTGTTTTCCCATCCTTCTCGGGGGCATTACTGCACTGATGCACTGTGAGTGCTCCGAAAAATAAATGCATCAAAATGAAATGCTTTTCCAAGTCAGTGGCTGGATTTCAACGAGACTCCGGCAAAATAAGAACTGGGCAGCAGTAGGATTTTGTTTTTACTACACTGTTTATTTTATCAAGCCAGCGCATTGAGAAATAATGATGAATGAATGCCTGATGGAACCACAGGTTTGGTTACTGTTATTTTCCAATGTATGGCAGGTCTGTTTATGAAATGTAAGCTTTAATATGATTTTTTAAAACGTAACCTAATGCTTTGAATGGATTAAGGATTATCTGAGTCAATGGGGTAATCAACATTTGAATAAAACTTAAAGAAAAACTACCCGACTTTATTAGGCTATCCTGACTTCTTCAAGAAGGCAGTGAACGTCCTGCCAATTTCCACAGCTCTCCGAGAGCAGTATATTTTGACCTGGATCACAGCGGGGACGCGTCACGGCGGGTGGGCGTGGTTAACCGGGATGAATAACGCTTTATCCTCCGTTACGTTGCAGCAGAGTTACAGTCTGACACGAGAGAGGAGCAGGGGGAACTGAACAGCTGACCGGCTCGCGTAAATTTGAAGCCGCAAGTGATGGAAAGGCTGGAGATCTTTTTGTACACCTTCCTCGTCTCTCACTACGTCTGGAACATCCTCTTCATCTCATGGCTTTTAAACAGCGGGATACCCACAGATCTAACCAACTATGGATTGCTTAATTGAAGTTGGGCCACCTGATCCTGTTTGCGCCAGGACAACCGACCAACATTAGGGCACCAGAAGTCGTTATGGACAGTTGTGCAAATGCTGCATTTCCTGATCAGAGAACTGGTGTGAATAGCAGAAGTTCTTCCTCAGGATACCACATCTATGTGCGCGTAAAGGACATGCACAGAAGGCTTCCATTCAGCGCTGCGTGAAATACTCCGCGCTATGTTTTAGTATTTGCAGGGAAAAGCTGTAGTTAGAATAGAGAGCGTGCTTGTGCGGCTGATTTGTTCCTGCCGGCTTTGACGCGATAGTGGCGGCCAGCTTTTATTGCGCGCATACCAATTGTGCAGTTGCAGTTTAGCCGCTCTGTTTCCACAGGCGATCCACCACGACAAGACCTGCAGTCTTTGATATTCATCAGGCCTCATCACCGACTCTGTAAGGTTTATCCTTAAATACTTTGACAAATCCTGCAATTTGAACTTTCCCTGCAACCAAGAGAGTTTTTAAAGCTGCATCCAAGTGCACCTGTGTGGCAGGAGTGAGCCATGGCTTTACCAGATAGTGGCATATCTGGGGAGGAGGTACCCTTCCCAGAGATTATAGAGCTCAATGTTGGTGGCCAGGTGTACATCACCCGCTACTCTACCCTCACAAGTGTGCCAGACTCTCTGCTGTGGGAGATGTTCAGTCGAAAGTCAGCCAAAGGGCTGGCCAGGGACACCAAGGGACGCTTCTTTGTGGACCGTGATGGTTTCCTGTTCCGTTACATCTTGGACTACATGCGGGACCAGCAGCTGGTTCTTCCAGACCACTTCCCAGAGCGCGGGCGTCTGCAGAGGGAGGCCGAGTTCTTCAATCTGCCGGAGCTGGTCAAGCTACTGGCACCCAAAATCAGCAAGCAGAACTCCCTAGGCGACGAGGGATGTCAGAGCGACCCAGAGGACTCCTCACCTGGGATTGACACGGCCCGTAACCTGGGCTCCCTGGGTGCTGCTGCTGCTGCCTGTGCCAGCCTGGTGCCCGGTGCCATGGATGGCAAACGGTCCGGGTTCATCACAATTGGCTACAGAGGCTCCTACACCCTGGGCCGTGACAGCCACACCGATGCCAAATTCCGCCGGGTGGCACGGATCATGGTGTGTGGGAAGACCTCCTTGGCCAAAGAGGTATTTGGGGAGACACTGAACGAGAGCCGTGACCCTGACCGCCCCCCTGAGCGTTACACATCCCGCTACTATCTCAAGTTCACCTTTCTGGAGCAGGCTTTTGACAAGCTGGCTGATGCAGGTTTCCACATGGTGGCCTGTAACTCCACAGGAACCTGCGCCTTTGCCCACGAGCAGACGGACGACAAGATCTGGACCAGCTACACTGAATATGTGTTCTACCGTGAGTGAGCTCGGCTTTGTTCCCCCGGTCCCCCACCCTGTCTCCAAGTGCCCCCTCCTTCCTCCAGCCTCCAGCCATCCTGTCTCCCTCTCTCCGATGGCTCCTGCACCAGTAGATGTTCCGTAGATGTTGTGCCCTTCCATCTATCTCTGCAGCATCCAGCTTTTATCCTATGAACAGTACGCAGCAGCTGCTCTGACTCTTCATACCTTCTCTGCAGGTCCAATATACAGCCCTCCCCGTCAACCCCAAATCCACCCCCCCACCTCAGGTCCATCTTTTGCTCTCGCTTAAGCCGTCGTTCCATCTAGTTGTAGTCCCACCAGTCCTCGACCTCAGCGACCCCACAGCCTTCTCCTGCAGAGACTGATACCTTCTGTGTACTATTTCCCTTTTGTACTCTCTATATTGCATCTGCCTTGGTGAAGCACAATACTGTCCAAGAGCTAATTTTCTTAAACAAGCGCCCCAGTGTGTCTCTATGACTATTGTACCAGTCATAAGGGCATGAGGGAAAGGGCTTCAAAGAGTGGCCGTGATGTACAGTGCTATACTTTGTCTGCTTGCTCAAGCAGATTGGACTCTCTCTTGCTCCTCTGAACTAAATTACCAAATAATTGGACATCTTATCAGCCTTGAGGGATGTGAGCAGCCCAAGCACAAGAAAGAAGTGTAACACAAAAATCTAAGTTCCTTCAGTTTTTATTAAATGTGTCCAGTACCATGTGGATTGGGAACGTGCCATAGTTTATCTGTTCAGTTGTTGTTATAAATGAATGAGGGTTGAGACAATACGGCCACATGGACAGGGAAAGGAACACATTGAACTTTTTATTTTGAAAGGGAAAAGTTGGTTGTCGGTGTTTCTCTTTCAAAAAGACAATGGTTCATTGGCAAATGACTAAGCAACGGGCTTCAATGAAAAAAAAAAAAAAAAAAAGCTCAAATATCAAGAGATCTCATAGACAGAAAGAAAAAAAAAAGGTTGCCAGATGAAGTGTGTGTATTGATTGTGCAATGGAGCTTTCAGTATTTTAATCACCCACGCTGGGAGGGCAGAGGAGATGGAAGGTGTTACATCACTTGCACCCCACTGCTCTATATTTTTTTGCGCTCATTGTGCTTCTTTGACATTTCTTTGCAAAGTTAGATATTTAGGAGCATTTTGCCAGTGAGGCGCTTCTTGGGACGGGCTTTACACCATGACCACGTGTTGTTTCCATAAAAAGAAAAAAGTGGTAGTCCTTGGAGCGGCTCATGTTTTGAGTGTTCTGTAAACAATAATGTTATTCTTAATACTCAGTTCAGTATTCGTTGAAGCTGTTGCATATTTGATGATAGCTCTCACTTACTGTAAGTGAATACCCATGAGAAAGGGTAGGATTACACTGTAGCCAGCCAAAGCCCAATGTCCTCTCACCACTGTAGCAAGGGCATTGTGAGGGCAGTTTATAATGAGCGGCTATAACTTAAGTTATAAAGGAGCGAGTTAAGAGGGGGGGGGGGTTCCAGTTACAGCCTCAGGACAGGTCTGCACATCATATACCTCAGACTAAAACACAAACTGAAGGCACTTAAATCCAACAAAAGATCTAGCTGGTGACAAGAAAATGCAGACATGGTTAGGAAAATGTAGATGCTATAATAAGTTTTTTTTTTTTTTTTTTTTTTTTAAAAAAAAGGTTTAAAATGAAATGAATTTAAAATGAGAAACAGCCTGCGAGGCAGTACAGTGTAGGATTTCACCTGAACGATAAGGTGTCAGGTTGAAGAACGTCTGACTGACAATAAATGTATTCTGAAATGTCTAGAAACCACAATGTTGTGTTTCGGTGTGATGACGTGCTGTTGACATCTGAGTCAATATGTTAGACCTGCAGGAGTGTGTCACTGCAGGCGTAGACAACACTGAAATTAAAAGTGTTCAGCAAAAAACAAAAAAAAGCAAACTGATTTGTCAAATAAAAGATGTTTTCTTCCTATTTGGGTTGTATTTTCCATTCATAATTCAATGTTTTTTCAGTCTTGAATGGCATTCAGCTTAAACTGTGAGGAAAGTGGTACGTGCCCTCCCGTTACTGCAGTGTAAAATTTTAATTTCCAGTGACAATACAACTCAATCACAAAAGAAACCAATTCAAATTTTCATCTCACCATTTCCCATTAAAATAAATTTACTTGGACATAAACTATACTTCATATTAAACGTCCAACACTCCTCCCTGAGGCACCATCTCCCTCGTCCTCCCATCTGCTTTTCCACTTTTTTCTCCACATTTCTGTTCTTTTCTTTTTTTTTTCTTTTTCTTCCTCAGTCTGGATTTGTCTGGAGCAGTTGACCAGAAAAAAGAGCCAAGATAGAAATGAGGACATGCATAGATAAGAGGCTCTCTTAAAGCAGATTACAAAACCTTTATTTTGTTGCCAATAATTGACCTAATTACTTTGTACAGTAAAAATCTTGAAGCAGGTGGGCCCTAAAATCCAGGACGTTGAATAGCTGTTGTTGTTGAAGCCTCATGCAGAGCAATGATTTGCCCATTTTTAAAAGATTAGAAATGATTTTTGTCAATAAAAACACTCACAGACAGAAAAGTGGGCATAATTTACACAACAACCAGGGTTATGGTTATGTAGGTGAGGCAGTCACATGTTGTTTTTATAAATTCTGACTCATGTAAGTGCTGTTAGAGATTCTCACACGCTAATTACCTTAGTATAAGACCTCTAAACCTGATCTCAGTCTGGCCTAGATAGCTGATGAGCGTCACATGAATTGTTGAAAAATGTATGCGGCTCCCTTCCTGGAAAACAGATGATTTTTGTTGCGGTCTGGGCTGGGTGCGTGACAGATCCTCAGAGATCGGGACAATGCAGTGCCTGCACAGTCACAGGCAGCATTCCTCTGTCGCTGTCCCCCGGCACACTACTGCAACACGGGGTAACGCCAAGGTCAGTCATTAGCACAAGCACGGAGAAACACGCCTCATGTGTGAAATTTCAGGCATCATTGTCCTAAACCGCTCTCTGTCTTTACCTCCATCAGTTGCCTTGAGACTCAACATTCAACAGTAGATGTGTGAGAAGTGTTGACACTCAGACGCTGAACAGCGACAGCAGCGAGGTCCACAGGCCAGGCTGTGATGACATGCTGCTTTATTGTTGTTTTTTTTTTTTTTTTTTAAATGCTCTATTGTGAAACTTGTGGCTGAAAAGTGTAGCATGCCTGCTCATGTGCCATACAAGAAGCAGGCTCTAGTTATGTCATCATAGTGGTATGCCTCTTTTATCCAGAGTGTTACAATAAAGATATTTTACCATGAAATTTTGCTTCTCTGTCTTTTGGAAAAAGTCCAAATAGCAGATTGCATTTGTCAGACCTGCTCACTGCACAGCACACAATCACTTAATTTATATATTTTTTTTGTTCCTACCACAGTGTTTGAAGTTGAGACAATTTCTCACAGAGTTTTTGCAATTCATTTTTTAACTCTTGCCACTAAAGTACAAGCCAAAAAGAAATGTTCCCCGAGAGTACAAGACTGTTCTCTCTGTGAGCACACTACCTCGAGGCAGTGATTTGACCCATGTCATGTTCCTGTGGAGCTATTGTCACTGTAGGCGGCTCTACATGGCAACAGGCCTTGGTCTGGTCTGTTTTCCTCTCCTGATCCTCTTGTTTCATAGCCAGCTGGGTCATCACTTCCCCTATTTGGAAAAAGAAAGGAGCAGAGAGCAGAGGAGAAGAGGAACGGATGTACGTCAAAGGAAAAGGGGATTGGAAAATGGGGCAAGAAAGCAAGGCTAGACAGATAACCTGGTAGAGAGGAGATGAGAGCTGGAGAGTATTTACGCGGGGGAAAGATTTGGTGTTCTCATCTTATCTCTCTTCCTGCGCAGCTCCAGCGTGAAGGGTCCTGTTATACAAAGAGGTGCTGGTTCGTCCTGACAAACAAAGCCCTCACTGGGCCGTGCTGTTAGTGGCCTGTCAGCTCCGTCAGCACTCACAGAGAGATTCAGTTACAGCAGACAGACATAGAGCCACAGGATTACTCAGTATATGGTTGGGATTAATATTGATTCATAGTACGATTACATCAACATAAAAGGAGGGGAAACTGATATTTTCCACCAGAGAGAACTTCTATTTTCTGTCTCGTGTGTATGTGAATCATGGGATGTGCCTTTAAATTCACTACAACCAGCTCAGGTTCCCAGACTGCAGCTTCTTTTATGAATAGACATACCACATGCTTTAGACTGACAACACAGAGTGACACAATGAGTCATTTTATCAACATCTTAGACTGAGTGTACTACCAGGTTTTGTCTGAATTCTGCTGTTTATCCTCCACACTGAGCTGCAACCATCTGTGACTGTAAACTTGTTTATGTCTTCTCAGCATCACTGACTTGTCCACTTTTGGATCTGTACGCCAGCATGTTTTGGCTCTTTCTTGTTTTCCTGCTCATGTTTGTGCTTACGTGGATGTTTGGAGAGCTGGTGTGATGACTGTCTGGGCCTCTGTGCTGGGTGGGTCAGCGCGGGGTTGGTATGGAGGCCACGCGGGGGCAATGAACTAATGAACTGGCACTCCCTGTCTCACAAATATGCTGAGCAGGCAGTTGGCATCTCTGAATGCGCACGGACACAAACGCAGACGGACACATGTACAGAGGGAGGGAGGTTGCTGGGAGAGGATGCGCAACAACCCTCCTGCGTGAGGCTACTGACTCGGGGGTGTGAGGTTTTTAGATCTGTCTGTCTTCTTTTCACTCTGCTTTGCGATCAATTAAAAATGCATTAGCAGGCATACAAGCCATTTCCCTCCCTCATCCTCTGTTGACGGCAATGAACAGGAGAAGTCCAAGCTAATAAAGAAAACTGGTAATTACCTGGGAGTAGCGTCAACCAATAGGAGGATGTAGCTGAGAAGTAGAGGCAGCATGCAGCAGCCTGAGGCCTTCCATTGCTTTCTCCATCAGTATGTGAAATACTG